GCGCGTAGCCTGAGTCATGGTTCAACTGTATTTGAACTTCTTGGCGAAGGCGCATAGCCTTGATTTAATGGCGAAGGCGCATGGCCTGAGTCCCAGTTCACCTGTTGTTGAACTTGGTCGATTTTGATGGCGAAGGCGCGTAGCCTGAGTCCCAGTTCAACTGTTGTTGAACTTAGTCGATTTTGATGGCGAAGGCGCGTAGCCTGAGTCCCAGTTCAACTGTTGTTGAACTGTCAATTTTGATGGCGAAGGTGCGTAGCCTGAGTCCCGGTTCAACTGTTGTTGAACTTGGTGGTGAAGGCGGATGGCCTTGATTTAATGGCGAAGGCACATAGCCTGAGTCCCAGTTCAACTGTTGTTGAACTTGGTCGATTTTGATGGCGAAGGCGCGTAGCCGGAGTCCCAGTTCAACTGTTGTTGAACTGTCAATTTTGATGGCGAAGGCTCATGGCCTGAGTCCCAGTTCACCTGTTGTTGAACTTTGTCAATTTTGATGGCGAAGGCGCGTAGCCTGAGTCCCAGTTCAACTGTTGTTGAACTTGGTGGTGAAGGTGCATGGCCTTGATTTAATAGCGAAGGCGCATGGCCTGAGTCCCAGTTCCACTGTTGTTGAACTTGGTCGATTTTGATGGCGAATGCGCGTAGCCTGAGTCCCAGTTCAACTGTTGTTGAACTTAGTCAATTTTGATGGCGAAGGCCCTGAGTCCCAGTTCAACTGTTGTTGAACTTAGTCGATTTTGATGGCGAAGGCTCATGGCCTGAGTCTCAAGCTGTGGGTATCGGGTGCTGAAGCTCGATTTTGATTCGAGACCTTGAGCATCTTATACGTTGCCTTCCCAATCGGGGTATGTAGGCTGTCTTGAAGCGAATCTCGGCTCGAGATATCTTCGAGCCGGTTTCCGGCCGGAGCCCGTATCGGGGATGTGGGAGATGCTTTACAGAGATCCTCCCTTGGGGGGGGGGGGGTTCTTCTTTTTGTTTGCACTATCTGAGATCGGAGAGAGAGGGAGGACTTGGATCTTGATTTGAGATCTTCGAGTTCCCTTTCGAGTTTGGCGTTTCTTTTCTTTTGGTCCAGGGAAGAACTACGCGATTTTGCTAGGAAATCCCCACAGACGGCGCCAAATTGTTTGCTCAAAAGTTATCACATACCTTATGAGTATAAAACAATATAAATAAATCACGGAAAAATCATAACAAACCGTAATAATCCATTGGACCAAAGGAAGGAAACGAAAATAAATACTCAGAGTTAAGAGGAGAAACATTAAAAGCCTTTATTGATAGTGTTGATTTGATCTGCCTCTCCATGAAGAGGTTCAGCCCCTTACAATGATGTTCCCCTTTCCCATAATATGTGTCTCGTTATATCTTTCTCTCTCTCTCCTCCACAGTCAGGAAGAAGCCCCCCCTTACTAGGGCTTCCTCTCTTGGTATTTATAGCTGTGAGCTTCGTGAGCTGGCAATAAGTGGCCGTGACCACGTTGGGGTTTCGCCTTCATGATGACGGACGGGCCGTGACCTTGTTGATCGAATCAGATAAGGGTTGGACACCGTTAATTCTGAGTGGTCATACCACTAATCAATCACGAGTTAGCTTAAGACGGGATTATCTTCGTTAATTATCGTGGGGTCGGATTCTGAACCATACAGTCACCTTATTTTGAAAAGTGTTTTTGTTAAAAAAGTAATTTTTGGTGGAAAATAGTTTGTATTTGATTAATTAATTTGAAAAAGCACATTTGAGTAGCAATTATGTTTGATCAAGCTTTTAAAAAGTGTTTTTAAATGTATTTTTTCGAAAGTACTTTTTAAAAAAGTGCTTTTGGTAGCTATTTTTTTTAATGCTTCTAAATTGCTTCTGCTGCTACTCAAAATACTTTTTTTCTTCTAAAAATTTGGCCAAATATCTTAATGTTGAATAAAAAAAGTACTTTTGGATAAAAAAAAATTGATCCAACGAGCTATTAGTTTGGGAAAATGTCCAACTTTACTCATGTGCTATTCAAAATTTATTAACATTTGTTACACTTTTAGTCCATTTATACCTTTTTCGCCCTAGTAAAGCGTCTACATTTTTTGAGAAAAAAGATAATATACCTAATAACTTTAGGTTACAGTTTAAAATTACTTCTAGATTGGAGCTTCTTAGGGATAAGGGTAAAACTAAGATATTTATTTTAATAGCAAGTATAATATTACCCAAAAAATGTAAGGATGACAAAGTTGTTCAATTTGAAACAATAGAAGGCAAATTTGACCCTTTATTCAAAATTTTCTGAATTTTTTTTTATAAGAAAAATAATACATACAGTAATTAATATTTCTTAAACTACAAATTTTAAAAGTTTAAAATGTAAATGTCAAAAACAAAAGAAGAGTATTGCAATGGAGGTGGTTAGACTCTGAACTTGAAATTGCTGATATAAAAGTAAAACTATCTCTGCTGGAAAGCAAGTTAACGTCCGGTGATATCAAGTCCGAGACTTGGTTAGTGTACATTCGTTCAGCAAAATCGCCGGAAAAAGAAACAAACGAGTGGGCGTATGGCAAACGAACACTCATGGCTGTGTTGTTTAATTGATCGTTACCTCCGTCCTTATACTGTATGCTCACTCTACTCCCCACTGATTCTTAATTGCCTCTGTGTATTTTTTTCTTTTCACCTCATGTTACATAAAAGAAGACTCTACGCCTCTGCAGGAAACTGGGTCTGCTTCTTTAACCAAAGAAATGGAGAAACAACTTTTAATTGCTCTTTCACAGGTACTTGTTCCTTTTTTTACCAATCTCCCTATTGTGGGATTTTTTTGCAAAGTTAATGGATTAAAAGTTCCAACTTTTAGGTTTATACAGAAATTAAGCTGTGGATAAAGGAATATGAGTCCGATAACAGCTCTGTAAGATTCTTTCTGTGTATATCTTATGGTTTTGCTTTGAAGTATCTTAGGATACATTTGTTTGTTTGCGTAAATTTATTAGGAGGACATGGCGGGAAATTCTGTTGGTGGAGGTCAAATAATCCCTGAGTCACATGCTCATGATCATCATTGTTTAACCAAAGTTATTGGGGTCTTGGTAAGTTTTTCGATTCGAATACCCGTGATGAGATATGTGTGAGCGTTACTGTGTTAAACCAAAAATCAGAAAAAACTGTTAGGAGAATTAAAGAAATCTGGAAAATAGTAGAGAATCAGAAATATTCCGAGTCCACAAGTTTTTTGTGTGTCCTTAAGGAATTTTAACCCCCTCACACGTTGCCAAGGTAATGGATTAAATCCTCCCAGGATAAAACGGAATAAACCTTCCTGCAACAGTGGCAATACAAACTGCAGGATACCAACGAACTCAAAGAACGGAGCAAAATCATACTTACGAATTTGAGAGAGAGAGACTGCGAATTAGGATGCAGTATATTCAGAAAGAAAGAAGTTCTGGAGTGTTTTTCGTGTGTAGAAAATGGAGCCTTGCCTCAGAATTTATAGGTAATTATCAGAAGAGGTGTCTGGAAAAGGTGCCTTTTCAGAAGAATACGCTGCCTGCCGCGGTTCTACCGCGGTCGCGGCAGAACCGCGGTCAGAGAGACTCTCTGAATCAGCCTGCCGCGGTTCTACTGCGGTCGCGGCAGAACCGCGGCCAGAGAGGCCCTCTGAACTTTCAGCAGGGTTCTGGCGTATGGTTCATTCTCTTCAACTCCTTTTAAGAGCTTTAAGAAGTGATTCTATATATAAGCACACAAATGTGGTTGTCCCTCACCAATGAGGGACAAAGTGCAAGACAAAAGTTCAGTTCTTCAAATTTTCAATTTCCCTCCATTTTATTTCCCTCCATTTCCAATTCACACTTCTTCTACTTTAAAGCCCAATGGCTTAAAATCCAACAATATGGCACATGGATTCCAATCTTTTTATGACTTTTGGGGCTGATTGGTTAATTGGATTCAATGTGACAATACCATATTCTGTAGTACAGTTATGTGTATCAAATACTACTGTGAAGCTTTAAAGTACAAATGCTGTAACATGTTGGCCCCAGCATCGTGATGTTTTTTCAATTAGCATCCTGATATTTTCTCAATCTCCTGTTCGGTTTGGAGTTTAATTTCTGGACACTAATTAAGATCAAGAATTTAAGCTCATTTGACCATTGCTGGAATATTGCCACAATTCTGATGAAAAATGATCTGATATGAAACCTAGTTGCTCAGATTCTCGTAAACTAAAATTTCATCTCATTTGATCAGTTTCAATCCCCCCTTTTACTTTATTCAACCTCACAACTTTCTTATGATTTCCTATCTTCAGATGGTTGTGGTTGCAACAGAGAATCCATATATCCATCACCTGGCTGGCAATATCCTGGTGGTTGTTTCAGATTTTCTGGTCGAATCTGTACGTGATAAGATGGTGGCTTTGAAATCACTACATTGGCACTTCTTTGTTTTGATATTTTGTGTGTGTTAACAACTTCTATCTGCAGGAAAGCTTTTTGGGTGAATATATCAATTTACTGTATTTCTGCGTGAAAATTTCAATTTCTAATGGTCTTTCCTCTATGGGACATACGATGGAGGTCAAAGACTTGAGGGGAGATCCATCACCTTCTCATTTATTGAAGCTCAGCCTGAAAAGTGGTAGTTGGTCAACGGCAGCTGTTATCATGAGAGTTCTACACAGTGTACTGAAACAGTTGAACCGAGATCTTATCGATCAAATTTTTAACATTTACTTGGAGGCTACCACTTCTTTTATCTCAAATATGCCGTGGGATTTGCTGTCAGAGGTCTACCATGCTCAAGGGGACTCCAGTCCGGACCATTTGCGTCAAATGCAAGAAGCAAAACCTAAGTCAATCCTAACATTTCAGGGATATCTTCTCCGATTGCTCTGTTCCTTGGTTAAAAGTGGTTGGACGGATACTGCTATCAGCACTTCAGTAGAGCATCCGTTTATTTGTGAAATCAAAAACCTGCTTCCAAGACTTTTGATATCATGCCTTAGTAATGAACAGTGCTCTGACAATGTTGCCATCTCTCAATATCTTAAACATAAGATGTTGGTATGAATTCCTTCTCAACTCATTCTCATTAATTAGCATCTTTTATAAAATGCTTCCTGCTGCCAAGTATAGAAAAAATAGGTAACCTTATGACTTTTACTGGAAAATCATTCGTACTTACCATGATGATATATCTGATTTGAATGTCTGATATTGCTTTCAAACATTTAATTGAAATAAACTTCTCATAGAAACAGATTGATTTTCTCCTTCCATGGCCTGGATTTGCGTTTATTCCTGACTCCACCCCCCCCCCCCCTTTTTTTTACAAGTTACTGTCTTTATAGTCGTAGTCTTATCGTAACTTA